TGCCAGTCCATCTCATCTCTCCAATGCCTAATATGTCAATATTTATGCGTTCCATTTCTTTCTTAACAATTTCTAATTTTCCTTCATTCATGGCTCTCACATTCCTTGTACCAATCACTAGGGTCTGCTTACAACTGTTCCTCCTCCTTTGTATTTCCGTTAGGAGATCATAAAAACAGTGGCAAGGGTAAATGATTTGGAAGACTTTTGGATGTTGATACCTAACTAGGAATACTGGGCAGTGAGCTGAAAATACAGGTAGTAGTGTGTGTAATACTTGGAAATAAGATTTTAGTGATGGTACAAGCATTGGAAGGAATTTCTGGTGGCTTTGTAGTTGTTATGTGCCTTCGACTCACCTGTGACTCAGAGGGACCCTATGCACAATAGCTTTGAACCCTGACCCATTCTGAGCTGATCTCTCTGACTCTGACACTCCTACCCTCATTATCCCAGTCATTTAGTCAATCTATCTCATCCTGGAGTTTGCACTCCTGCACTGTCCCTCCCCCCGATTGCTGGCTAATGTTACATGTTGGGCTAATAACTGAAAAGTTAGTTTGAATCCACCAGTCTCTCTGTGTGAGAAAGATGGCTAGTCATCTCCCAGAAAGATTTACCACCTCAGAACTCCACTGGACGGCTGCCATGGTTTGGAATAGATTAGATAGCTGTGGATTATTATTAATTTTTTAGTTTTATTATTTAGCATTGTACTTTTTCTAAAACTTATTTTATATTGGTTTCCATACAAAGTTCACATTCATTGTTTTTCACACTATCCTTCTCTCACGTTGTATTTCATACAATCATTTTCATTTATTGTGTCTTATAAAATTAATCACCATTGAACTATGTCCACCATTATCCCATCTTTCCAGATTCTGACTGGATCTTTCTCATTACCTTTATCTCCTCTAGATATTGTATTGTAGTCTTAAGAAAGGAATTGTTATCTTCATTTTATTGCTGAAGAAACTAAGGTGTCTAGAGACTAATTTGTATATTTGGGCCACCTTTTCACTATTAAACTATTATTGATATATTTTTGTGAAGTTTTTGCACTGATAAGTGATGTATTACCGGAGATGAAGATAATAATAACAGGTAAGGGAAGACTTTGTTTAGTTGTAACTAGGATCGCTGAGTCAAAGTGGACTCTAGTGTAAAGGTTTCAATGGATCCTACTCAGTGTTACAGCAGAAAAAAGGCCTGGCGGTCTCCTTCTGTAAAAATGGAAGAAAACTCCACAGAGTAATGTTTCTCCTCAGAAACGTGTGAGGTCAAGAAGTATCAATCAGAATTAACTTCACAGAAACTGGGGAGAAAAAAAAAATCCTAGAAAGACATTTCCTTGAACTGGCCTAATAAATACTAGCTGGTCTCCCCCTGGCTCCCAGATCTTTTTGCTATTCCTAGTGTTCACAACCACTATCTTCCCTGTGTGATGTTTAACTTCAGAAGTATGGGCATCAAAGTTTTAGGACAATTAAGGACAGAAACTCTATCCACCAGATGCTCTGCCGGGAAAAGGAGGGACAATCTCCTCCTGTACCAGTCAGATCTGATTTGACGGTACAATCACACAAGGAAAAAAAAAAAAAAAGGACAGAAACTCAGAAAAAACTCACGAAAATTAAATGTAGCAATTAAAGTCACTAGCCAACTTTTTTTTTTTTAAATTTTTTTATTATTTTTGTGTGCGTGTACCGTCAAATCAGATCTGACTGGTACAGGAGGAGATTGCCCCTCCTTCCCCGGCAGAGCATCTGGTGGATTCGAACCGTACACCTCTGGGATTGTAGTTGCAGCTTCTTGCCACTAGGCCACCAGAGCTCCCCTAACTAGCCAACTTTTTAAAAAAATAATTTTAATGAGCATTTACAGAGATTTTGGATTTCCATTCATTCATTGCTGCACTTCTCTCCCCGCCCATCCCTCCCCCTACTAGCCAACTTTAAAAAAAAATATAACCTGTGCTTTCTTCTTCAAATGTTGTACCCTGTGTTTTGGGAGCTCAGAAAAGAAATATGAATCGAGTATGTTGACTGCTGGCAAGAAAAAAAAAACCCAAAACCAAAAGAGTTACGGAGACTTAAGTTTCTTACCTCTTCTGTGACTAGCTTTCCCCAGTTTTGAAAGGGGATACTCTTCTAGGGAGGCACGAGTCAAACAATGTGTGCCTGGGTACGTGACCTCCAAGCTAGACCCAGGAAATGATAAATAGTTCTTTAGAAATCCTAATACTGAGTAATTCATTCCCCATGCACATTTTAAGTGTAAAAAACAGGTGTGTATCCACACAACTCTTAGTATATGTTAAACTCTGGGGCTGGAAGTTTACTTAGTTCTAAAAAATGCTGGAACCTTGATACATGAGATAAGTATGCACTTGGGTGTGTGCTAGAGCTCGCGGGAATTCTCTGGTTATCTTGAAACACCTCCACCTCCCCAAGCCCTTCTCTTTCAGCCCAGAGTGCAGCCCAGCAATCTCTTAGGAGACCGCAGGCAAACCGCTGCGCCTGCGCAGTGGCACCGCCAGGCTGATGCAACCTTCCGCTTGAGAGCCCAGAGTCTGCGGAGAGTCAGGAACCCAACCAGGAGCGGGACCAATCAGCGACCAGCCGGAAGTGTGCCGAAGGGCCCGCCCCCTCGGCGCTCCGCTAGAGACGTCAGGAGGCACAGAGCAGGCGGCGCAGTTGCCGTGGCTGGCCCCCCTCTCTGCCTGGTGTCCTGGGGTGTCCTGCCCCGGCTTTAGCCCTGCAGCCATTTTGGATTTTGCTTTGCACGCGCCGGCCCGCCTCCCCAGCCCTTTCCTGTGTCGTGCTGCAACTCTGGAGCTTTTTAATGGTTCTGCTTTTCTGCCGAGGGTTGGTGAGGCCTCCATTCAACTAGGATACTTCCTGCCCAGCATGGATTTCTTCTCGGCTGCTGCATCCCGCCTGTGCGCTGCTAGACTGTGTTCTGCTGACAGCTGCCGCAGCCGCTTTCCCCTCTGGTTCCTCCGCCGGGCCGCAGAACGGCCTGGAACGCCGCGAAGCAAGGCCAAGACTGTTTAGGGCTCCGCTCAGTCTCCTCCGGCTGCCGAGCTGTGGTCACGAAGGAGATGGAGCCGGAAGCGGCCGGTTTTCGGCAACGGGCCGCACCCGGGGTGCGCGCTGGGTACCGGCTGCCTTTCCCCTTCTCTTGGCGATCACGGCCGGTTTCTTCTTCCAAATTCCACATGCCTGCCTCCCCGGAAGACGTGGGGGACCCCACACTGTCTGCCTGTCCCCGGCCCGAGGTCCGGAGCCGCTACTGGACCAAGCTGCTGGCCTTGCTCTTTGCCCCTCTCCCCAGCTTGTTGCAGAAGTTGCTGCTGTGGACCCAGCTTTTCTGTGGGGTGATTTCCAGCAGGTGGCTGGAGATGGCGGGGGGCTACGGCGTGCTGAGAGCCCTGAGGAGACGGGAGGAGCCTGCCCTCGCCACCGTCCAGAAGTCGGGGAGCTCGCTGCTGCGCGAGCCCGCGGACGACTCGGCCGCCGTCCACCTGGACTGGCTGGAGGAAGGGCTCGGCTGCCAGTGCTCGTCCGCAGACCACGAGCTGGCACTGAAGGTCCTGGGAAAGGCTTTGGACCCAGCCGCTCACGCCTTCCTGGTCGAGCAGCTGCTGTGGCGCGTGGACCTGCTGCCGGGCAGCCTTCGCACCTGCCTCTTGCCGGAGCGGGACGTCGGCTCCTCGACCTCGGGGCCCCTCCACACTCCGCACTTGAGCCACCTGGCCGTGGTCTCCTGCCTGCTGAACCCCCCCTGCGCCGACTGCCTCCCCCAGCTCGCTTATCAGTCCGGCGGGCGGAGCGGCGAGCTTGTTGACGGCCAGGCAGCGACGCCCGAGCGCACTCGCCACCCGCACGTCCTGAAAGCGGAGGCCCCGCGAGCCTCGGGCCGGGGGTGCCCGCCCGCGTCGGGGGAAGAAGGGCTGCCCGAGATCCAGCACCTGCGCATGAAACGGCTGGAGTTCCTGCAGCAGGCCGGCAAAGGGCACGCGCCAGCCGCCCCGGACCAGGACCATGGCTACCACAGCCTAGAGGAGGAGCAGGGCCGCCTCTTGATGGAGCAGAAACCCGGCTCCTCGCACGGCGCCCCCGCCGAAGCCCTTCCCACAAGCGCCCCGGAAGGCCCCGAGGAGAACGTCCAAGTGCGGAGCGGAGAGGGGCCGCCGGCTCGGGGGGACCTGGACCCCCGGGAATGGGGCTCCTGTCGGGAGGTCGCCGGGGCCAGCGAGGCCGGAGAGGCCCAGGCCGCGGGCTTGGACAGCTCGGACGACGATGACGACCCTCCCGTGTCCGCCCGACCCACCTGCAGTAACAAGCTGATCGATTACATTTTGGGGGGAGACGCCAGGGACCCGGAGTCTGCCTCGGATTCTTCCGATGGTGAGGCCTGGATTGAGGACTCGGAGGACGGCGGCTTTGACAGTGACAGCTCGCTGTCGGGGGAGGACCTGGACCCCGACACCGCTGGCCTCTGGAACTCCTTCCACTCCTTCGACCCTTACAACCCGCAGAACTTCACCGCCACCATCCAGACGGCGGCCAGACTGGACACCAGGGCCCCTTCTCCGCAGACGAGTGGCCGAGAGCCTGCCCCCCGACCTGACAGCAGCCTGCCCGGGACCCCTGCCACCATTTCTGAGCGTCACACCTCAGTGTCTTGTGAGGTGCAGCAGAGCGAGCGCCAGCTTCGTGGGCGAGGACACCAGCGTATCCAAAGGAAAAAGGTTCGTTTGCATTGCTCGCCCTCACGATGTCAGCTCATTAGTTCTGAGCGTTTTGATGCGGCTAAACATAGCATACGCGGCTTTTTTTGGGGGGATGGTCGTGCATATTTTTTATCAAGACCCCTTCATGGTTAGCAATTTCACTACAGGCGTCAACGTTTATGGTTTTTAAAGGAACAGAACTATTCACAGTTTCATTTTTCTGATTGGACCTATAGCGGCCCTAGAGCTGTCAAATGGTTTTCATGAGGACTCTGATTGGTAGACGCTTGATGTTCTACTTCCATAGTAAAAGCGCCCTACTTGTCCGTTAGAACCCCAACCCCCAGAGGAGATAGCACCAGATCTTATTTATCTGGTTGTTTGCCAGGGACTTAATTCATGTGTATGTGGTTTTGAGTGACCAGGTTAGGAGTGATAATCCTTTAGAATGCAATATGAGTTCTCGTTGGCCACCTTACTGTTGTTGCCTGTGGCTCATCCCCACCCTATGTACAACAGCCCTGAACCCTGCTCTATCCCGTGCCAATCTTACTGTCTCTGATACACCTACCCCCATTACCCCTGTCACTGAATCAAACCATCTCATCGAGGGTCTTCCTCTCCTGCGCTGTCCCTCCACCCTCCCAAACATGATGTCCCTCTCCAAGGACTGTTCCTCCTTGTAGCATGTCCTGAAGCTTTAGAATTCTTGCCTCCGAGCAACAGCCTGGTCTCACCCTCTCTAGGATGAGCCTCTTAGCCACCTGCAAGGTGAAAATTCCTTTGTACAGTAATAGCACCTATTTGGATTTTCTTGAGTAGTTACCTACCTCCTATTCCCGGGCTCATTTTAAAACTTCATGGAGCATTTTACTCCTTCATCATATTGCCATATTCACTTTGGGCATGGTAAAGGGAAAACTGCCTTAGCTACCTGCATCTGTATTGGGAAGGACAGAGGAGCAGGTGAGTTGGTACTGACGTGAGACTCAGCAACTTTGGTTCCCAACGGTCAACAAGTTTTTGAAGCTGTTGTCTAAGTAGAAAATGTTTCTAGTTGACAGTAATCATATCTTGTTTTATAGAAGTAGACCAAGTCATGCTGAAAATAAAAGTTTAGTTCATAATTAGGAAAGGGTAGTGATTTTAACAGCTCTATCCTGTTAGGGGCCCCTGACAAAAGCCTGTTTTGAATGGCACAGAAACCTACAGTGTTCTGAATCATGGTGACTGTCTGTCTGGTTTCCGAGGCTCTAACTCTTCATGGGAGGAGACTGTTCCTCAGAGCAATTCGTGGTTTCTGTCCACAGTTAGGAGCCCAACACTACACCACTAGGGGTCCTCGTTATTTAGAAGAGACAAGTGAAAGAGGCAGTTAGGGCTGGAGGATGTGCTCTTGACATCTGGAATGGTGTGTTCTCTAGCCTGAGTTGTTGGGGCAGGAGATGGCTAGACAGCCGGACATGACTTTGATTCACTACTTTATCAGGTGGAAATAGTAATGTTGTTGTTGTTATGTGTTGTCCAGTCACCTGAGACTCATAGCGACCCTATGTACAAACAGCCCTAAACCCTTCTCTGTCACTTGCCAATCTTATTGTCTCCGACACACCTATCCCCATTATCCCAGTGCCTGAATCAATCCATCTCTTCGAGGGTCTTCCTTTCCTGCGCTGACCCTCCACCCTCCCAAGCATGACCTCCCTCTCCAAGGACTGGTCCCTCCTCACAACATGTCCAAAGTATGTCAGACGAAACTTCTGAATCCTTGCCCCCCAGGAGCAGCCTGGCTTCACCCTCTCCAGAAGGAACTTGGTATGGGGGAGAGACTCCCCATCTTTCTCATGGAGAGCAGATGGTGGATTTGAACGTCTGGCCCTTGGGTTGGCAGTGCATCTGCTTACGAGTTTTTGAAAGATTTAAATGAGAGGAGTAAAATTTGCTTTGCTTTGATATGGTCCCTCATTTTGTTCAGGGGTTTTAGGGCAGTCTTGTATCATTTTTTTGCACATTCTTTAAGTCCATTTGAGATGAGTAAATAGCTAAGAAATTTTGAGCTGGAAATGAAACATGAGAATGACTGTCTGAAATCAGCCTCTGACTGCTTGCCACTCACTTTTAAGAGAAAAATGTTTAGTGCCTAATTCTGGGAACAGTACTTTCAGATCTGGTTTAAAATACTGTGTCCAGACACACAATAGTGCACATTATTCATCCACTGTTTGAATCCTAATTGTACCACTTAGCCATGTGACCTTGGACAATTCAGTTAGCCTCTGTGACTCTTCCCCCCTCCCCAAGATGATAATAGTACATTTTTATTAGGGTTGGTTCGAGCATTAAATGAGATAAAAACGAAAACTATTTGACATAAACTATAAAAGTATTTGTTGTTATATGTCTCAGTGACACAGTGAGTAATGACTAGAATGCAATATTTAGTAAGGTGTTACATACCTACTAATTGTCCTCACGGGCATTCCTACGCCTGATGTAAAGGGAATGAAAGTAGTAGACCACAGTGGGATTAGCTGATGTAACTAGTGAACATACTTTAAAGCAAGTCTTGTCTGATGTTTTAGAAACTTCTGTAGTAGAAGTTAAATTGGAGTTTAAAAAGACTATCATTCATTGCATATCATCCTGCTTACTAAACTGTCACTTCACGTGCATATATAGTGATAGCTTATGGAATGGAACTCCAAAGAATTTGCATCTTCACTAAAAAATCGCCTTTAAATTTCCAAGTAACAGCCCTTACTTGTTAAATGATTTCTGCTGTACTTTGTTTACCAAGTAAATCAAGTAACTTTCTCTTCTATATTTGGATTGCAAAATTAATAATACAAAAACAGAAATAAGTGTTCATGATCCAAAAATTGTAAAGTACTGAAGAGCAAAATTTTCAAAAGGAAGAATAAAACTAAGGGAAAATATTGCTAAAGCTTTTCAGAGGTACAGTAGTGATTTTTCTGAAGAGCTTTCTTTGGAAACTTTGAGGGTAAGAATATCACAACTGGATTTCTTTCAGGATTTAAAAGCAGGGATCAATAATGGGAAAATTTCATTTCTGCAACTGGATTAATTTTATTCACATCAGAAATCAAGAGGGAGTATATATGGTTATATGCAACAGAAACCTACATATGTATATAAATCCATATATATGTATAAATAAAGTTCAAATCACATTTCCCTTCCAGTCAGAACTTTTTTCTTTTCTGGGTGAAACCAAGTATTTGTGTGAAATATATGACACTGAAAGAACTGGTGTGGTAAGCGGTATTGACCTCAATGCTGATATTTAAATTCATCTTTTTCTTTATAGGTAACTTTTCTTGAAGAAGTTACTGAGTATTATATAAGTGATGATGAGAATCGCAAAGGACCTTGGGAAGAATTTGCTCGGGATGCATGCAGGTTCCGGAGACGAATTCGAGAAACTGAAAATACTATTGCCTATTGCTTGACCCTTGAGCATAGAGAACGAATGTTTAATAGGCTCCAAGACTGGAATGCTTACAAGCATTAAAGTGATTTGACAGCCTCTTGCTCTAGTATACTCTACCTCTTACTGGAGAGGTTTCTATTAAAAACATAAGTTGGCAGCTGTCCTTTGGCATTCTTTTTAAAGGAAATGCAACATGTATCCAGTGACCTAGTTTTGTATTCTTTTGTAATATATCCACTCAAAAAAAAAAGAAAAATCCAGGGCTGAAAGATAAAATTGTGTGGTTACTTCTAATCCTTCCGTTTTTGAAGACATATCTTTTATGATTTCATTGGATATGTTTTTGAATGCAGTTTGCTTGTTGTGCTGAAAAGGGGACCTCTTACGTTACAGTTTTGCACTTTGAAAACTAACTTTCCTGAGAAATGGATATTTAGAAGATTCAAAGACCTTTTTCACTTCTAGTTTAAATTTTGTATAGTTATCACGAAATTTAGGGCTCTTTTTCTTCTTGACATTCTAAACTTAAGTGTTTTCTCTTTTTTTCCACCCTCACTAGTGATTTGGCCTTTCTATTTTAAGGCTAAGAAAATATTCTTGTATGTGCTACCAACTTTTAAATATATTGTGTCATATGTATATGAATTTTCAATGATTGGTTGCAAGTATGATGGGTTTTTATTTTCCCTTTATCCCATCTAAGTTATTTCCAAGGACTACACAAACCCTCTGTGTACAGTACTCTCTTCCACTTTGGAAAAACGACATTTGTCTGCCAAATTTTAACACTTAGTATATAAAATTTCTTGTGCAGACTTTTCTATGGGGATTTCTATACGTGATTGTAGTTCTCAGCTGAATGTGCTGCTTTATGTCTTTCAACAAGTAGAAATTGTCTAAAAAGACTCGAGAAATTAGTAATGGCATCATAGGCTTGGCTTTCTTTTTTAAACTAAAAAGCCTAGAGCTTTCCTAGGAAGAAGATAAAAAAAAACATCTTAGAGCGTTTGATTTTGTTGAATATGTATATCCTCTCCAAAAACCAGTATTAATCTCATACTTTGGCACGGTCACTTTTAAAACCCATCAGGGTGATGCTGTAAACTTTGAAATGGGCAGTTCTCTGAGAATTCTGGTTTAAAATGTAAAATACAGACAGTAGCCACTGCCTGACTTTATTGTGTTCTACTCTTTTAATGGGGGAAGGTATAGCAAGGCCTGATGTCTCTCAGGAAAGGGTAGAACTATTGATTTAACCGCTAGAAATTCTAAGTATCTTTAGCCCAAAGTCTTTGCAGTGATTGATTTTGCTTGCTGATTTAGTTAGGTCTCCATGGTGTGCATCTGTTAGAGTGGGTCATTATCCAGCTCTTTACTGGTCTGTTTTTACTCCATGTGCCTCCTGTTGGCAGATAATGGAAGGCATGAGTAGAATAGATGTCCTCTAATTTTGAGCTTGTTTGAGTATGGGAATGAATTTTTACGTCAGAAGTGCTTACAGGGTTACTACCTCAGTTTATCATCTACCTGGTCACTACTTTATTTTTCTGTGGTTTCCTCTAAGACCTGCCTCCAGTGTTAACATGACTCATGCCTCTACACACTGAGAGCGCAACACTACAAACATTGGTCAGGTGATGCAGAGCCTTTGTTCTCATCTGTTGCATCTCCATTTCAGGTACTGACAGGGAAGGAATGAATGAATGCATTCAGAGGCTAGTGTATTACCATGAAAACAAGCTAATTTCAAGCGCCACCTGTGACTGGAGGCATTTGGAAAGGAGGCATTTCCCTTGAAAAAAGTTTTGTGGGGTTTTTTGTTTGTTTTTCAAATGTACAAGCATTTTTTCCAAAACTAGCCTGAAACACACTATTTAATTTCCATGATTTTAGGTTGTGTTTTGTGTATCTGAAATCTAGCACCTCTGTGTATTCCAAAGTAACAGCATCTTTACATTCACTGGATTTTGAGAAATGATTCCCCTGGCATTCTAACTTTACTACCAATGAGTACAATAAAAACTTAGCTAACTAAGAATTTTCCCATTTATTTCCTTCCTATAAAAGGAATGGACAGTGATGGCAAGGACACAGGGACCATTTTTATATTAGAAATTCCTTCACCCCAGTACTAGTTAGAACAGTTAAACCCCCAGTCTCTTAGAAAGAAAATCCTTGGAAGTTGTGATTGCATATTTTACACATATAAAGTCTCTTAATGGTGCTTCAAGTGTCAGTGTAGCATGTGAAAGACTTTGTACAGACATAAAATTTCTACTTGTGAGTGTTGAAATATAACAGCGCCTCTGTATCCTTAACTTAAAATCACAATGGATCAGATTTTATTTTTTTATAATTTAAGAAGGTGAAGTTGGGAGGCTTAGAAGACATCTAAATTGGCTTCTACAGATCTAATGATTTCAATGTAACTACTTTGTTGGGGTTTTATAGCTAAAGTTATATTTGTATATAAAACTTAACTAATCTGTAAATGGTAATAAATATATTTGCAATTATTAAATATCCTATGATATTTTGGTTTATTATTCCATAATATTACACTTAGTTTTGGAACTAGTGATCAAAATTTTCAGAATTAAACCAAGGATTTTTGTAGATGTGTAATGTATAAGCTCTGGTGGTTTGAATCCACCGACGACTCCCAGGGACAACCTTGGACTATCCCCTGTGTGATTTGTATTGGAGAACCACAGTGAGTCATTAGTCATCATATAAGTCACTGTACACTTTAGAGATGCTAGAAGGATTTTTGGTTTAAAAAGTTTTGTTTAATGCGCACACTGCACCTCATGTAATGAAGGGAGGGAGAGGGTAAGATTAGTTCTTGGACTAAGACCCTTTGTGTTTAAGGTAAAAGTTCACGTAGCAAATTAAGCTCCCTTTTAACTGCTTTTCTCCCATATGTGACTCTAGCATTAGCTGAGTAATGTGTCCCCATGTCCCCATTCTATTCCTTCCCTTCTGGCTGTGGTAGTTCCTTCGTAGTTCCACTTTCTGTCCCCTTACCCATCTTTGCTTTAGAGCACTAGTTGACCACTTGGTCACATATAGATGATTTTTAAAAGGAGCTTGTTCATTATTTTCTGGTAATAATACTTTATTTTAGGAACCCAGACAGTCATTTAGCTAAAAAGTGACCTTAGGAGATGTTTTCAGTTTGTGGTGTGGTTTTGTTTGTTTTTTTTTTTTAAATTTTTTTTTCAAATTTTATTTGTGTGTATGTACTGTCAAATCGGATCTGACTGTACAGGAGGAGATTGTCTCTCCTTCTCCAGCAGAGCATCTGGTGGATTTGAACCGCACGCCTCTGGGATTGCAGTGCTACTTCTTCTTGTCACTAGGCCATCAGTTTGTGGATTTAAAGAGTCTCTCAGTCCAGTAGTCTCAACTATTCCAGTAAATCTGGACTTTTAAGAATTTTGAGTTCTCCACATTTTTTATCCCATTCTATCAGGATCTGTTTGGCTCTGATCAGCACTGAAGTGGCTTCAGCTCCATCTGGTTCTGACCTGCATAGACATGGCCAAGTCCTGTGGACTGCTTTCTTCTCTCTCTTTTTTTTTTTAAATTTTATTTTTGTGTGCGTGTACCGTCAAATCAGATCTGACTGGTACAGGAGGAGATTGCCCCTCCTTCCCTGGCAGAGCATCTGGTGGATTCGAACCGTTGCTTTCTTCTCTTGAATCTGGTCTCTTTCTCTTACTCTGGACTCACAGAAACAATAATTTAGTGGCCGACTACTTGGAAGTGTTTTAAGACCCCAGATAATACTCTTTTAAGACAGTTTAAAAACCGTTTATAAGTGGATTTTTACTATGCTAGGTAACTGAGATGTCTCACAAAACTATTGTCCTAAAGCTGTCAAACTCAGAACAAGGAATTTGGTTCTATCTAAAAAGTACCCATACCCATGTCCTCATGATACAGGCCATGGTTTTTGCAATCACTTGTTATGCATCAGAGAGTTGGACAATGACTAGGGAGAATAGAAGGAGAATTGACGCCTTTGAGCTGTGGTGCTGGAGAAGAGTATTGAATGTACCATGGACTGCCAAGAAAACGAACAGATTCATCGTAGAGAGGATTAAACCAGGCTGCTGCTTGGAGGCAAGGATTCTGGGGCTTCGTCTGACATACTTTGGACATGTTGTAAGGAGAGACAGGTCTTTAGAGAGGGACATCATGCTGGGTAGATCTCCTCCAGCAGAGCATCTGATGGATTCGAACTGTGCATCTCTGAAATTGCAGTGCAACTTCTTGCCACTAGGCCACCAGAGATCACCTATAATCACATATTTTTATGGTGGCTCATTTTGCTGCAATATTGTTGTCCTTTACCAAAACCATAATTTTCTTGTGTGTACCTGGTAGCATTTACCTTGGTCATGCTGTGTGCACTTTACTCACACGTAGAGGGAGGATGCTGCTTTGCTTATCACTAAAAGAAAGTATCTGTTATCTCTGGAACAGGGAGCTCTGGTGGCATTGTCCACAGCAAGTTGTGCACTAACCATGGGCTTTGTGCCCAGTGGTTCAAATCCATGAGGCATCCTGTGGGCAAAAGATGGGCTGTCTCTTTCCACTACCATTTACTGTTTCAGAAACCTGTTGTAGAAATATTATGAGTCAGAACCAATTCAATCTGTTGCAGAAAACCAGCTAAATAAATGTAGTTACAAGCAGTGAAAAATTGATGCTGGTTTAGCATTGAGTTTCTCCCAAGTATCAGCTGCCATATTTTATGCTTATTCATGATAACAATGTTGAAGGAGTCATGATGGTCTGTCTTCTAGAGTATTGAATAAATGTGTTGGTTCCTGCAGGCAAAACAAACTTGCCCTGAAGAAAAAGACAACAGCAAATCTATTAATATATTGAGCAAGAAAAGCTTTAAGCATTTACATCTTCCCCAAAGATGAAGGATTGTGTTGGTTTTTGTTTTGTTTTGTTTTTTATTTTTAGATGAAGTTATTTTTAAGTGTATTCTAAACTAGAAGGAAAGACAGTTTTCAGATAAATCATTGTAGTACATATTGAATTCATAGCCTCAGCTTATGATT